CTGGACTTCCAGGTCAGTTTGAACTGCAAGGTCGTAGTTTAACCTTACCAGCCGCTTTGCAGAAATCCTATACAGGTGGCTAGGAGTTCTACTCAGCAACATCCATGTGAGCAGGATTTGCATTTGCCTGTTTTATAGATCCAGCAATTAAGAAAGAATTATGACCTGGATATATACTACCTCAAGCCCTCTTGAGACCATGCAGACATTGGATGGGGGCAGAATGGGCCTCTCTGTCTGCAGCATCGCTGCACTTCATTTATTCCAGGACCTGCTTTACAGGCATTTGCTTGGTTAACTGTAGTTAATTGCGAAATAAACCCCACTTTGTACAGTGCAAGTAAGAATATCGACTACTTTGAGTAGTTTGAACCATGACTCCTTGGAATGGAGTCTGAATTCCTAGGTAGCGTTTTATCCTGTGATTTTGCCCACAGGTTCTATGCTGCTTTGGGGAAGGACTAGAGTTTTGCATTCTTGGTCTTCTGAAAACATGTATGAAAACACTTGGCTATTATCCCCTCCCTACCCTCTTACATAAGGAGCTCTGGTAGCGTAGTGGTTACGAATCGGGCTGTGAACCTCCAGGTCAGCAGTTCGAAACTACCAGCTGCTCCGCGGGAGAAAGATGAGGCGTTCTGCTCCCGTAAAGATTTACAGCCTCGGAAACCCTGTACAGGGTCGCTATGAGTCGGAGCCGACTCCACGGCACATAACAACAACAACAACAACCCTCTTACATGAAGTCCTGGAGTGCTTCTGTGGGTGAATGCGCTGGACTGCAAAGTCGGTTTGAATTGCAAGGTTGGTGGTTCAAGCTCACCAGCCGTTCCTTGGAAACCCTATACAGGGTCGCTATGCGTCGGAACCAACTTGACGGCACTTAACAGCAACAACCACCCTCTTATATGCACCGAGCTCCTCTTGATTTGCTTTCCTCCCCATGAGCCAAGAGCAAGAAATCAAGCTTTTCTGTGTTTTTGCAGCTAATGAGATGTGCTTACTCCTTCAAAATATCCCCAGACCCCCTATGACCTTTGGCAAGCAATAGTTCTCATACGATGCTTCCAACAGTGGGTTAAATCATCAAGCTTTGATAGTTCTCCTGGTCTCCCTTGTGATAGGTTTGGCTACTCAGGTAAGTGGCCAGGCAGAACTTGCTGGTGCTCACAAAATGAAGCCAGTTAGCCACAAACACATTATAGAAAACATGGCACTGAATCTTAGCATAAATTATGCTATGTCACACGACACAAGAAGCATTATGTGACCTTGCATTTAAATTCCAACAGGGTCTCCATTACAGCTTCCAGAAGCCCAAGTTTACAGGCAGCATTCTCTAGGTAAACAAAGATGGCTCCCATCCCAGACCATTCCTCAAAGTCACTGAAAGGTCTCTTCGGGGGAAACTATTTTCTTTTTCTGGCTATTCTTAACTACAGGGGAAAATGCGAGGTAGCTGTGGACTCGAAGAAAAAAATACCAACATGGATACAAAATTAGCAGGCACTCCTTCCTGTGAGTGCTAGCAAAAATCAAAGACATCTGACTTCTTTTAATATTTTCAATAAATATCAACGCCACCACAAAAACAAAACTGGTATTTGTAATAAGTACAGTAACTTGATTCAATCATCTACAAAGTCGCTGTTAGATAAATAAAGGAGGGTGGTGGTGGTGTCTGATGGCCAGCTGTTCATTTTCAAAGTGGATTCCCCTACATGAGCTCATGTTATGAAAAGTAAATTTGATCCTAAAAAGGATTAACATTAAAAAATGTTAGAGTAAAGCGGTTCATAATTTCTTGAAATAAGCATAGGACATTATATTCCTAAACACACAAGTTGTGAACCAGGCAAAACTTTTCTGCTGTTGCTTTATATACATATTTTAAATTAACCATTATAGATTCCTAGTTGTTGTTGTGTGCTGTTGAGTCGATTCCAACCCATAGCAACCCTGTATAGGGTTTCCAAGGAGCAGCTGGTGAGTTTGAACCACCAACCTTGTAGTTCAAATAGATTCCTAGAGGAGATTTCAAATAGGTAGAACTTTTAATTTTTTTTTTTTTTTTTTTTTAAAGATTATCTTATCAGTGTGTTTTCCCTTCCTTGCCTTTTCTGGCCTGTTTCTTTTTCTAGGACCTTCCCAAGGAATGGTGAAAGATTACTTTCATTTGAATTGATTAGTATTTAGTTTACAAAGTAAACCACTTTTTCCCTCCTTAAAATCTCATAGTTATCCAACATCATTAAGATAAATGGAATTTAGTAATTCTTCCCCCATCCCCCCCTACTCTATGACTATGATGTCAAGCAGGTGAGGGGAAGGCTGGCGGGTGCATCCTTTTAAAGATCACTAAGCAATTTCAGGAAGGAATGAATTGTGCAGGATGATGGATTTATTCTCAACCTTAATGACTATTAATGGATTCTATTGTCACAATTTGCATTATAATCTGGACGTGCAAAATTTGTACTTTGTAACAGTTATAACTGAACAAAAACAGTTGCTGTTGATTTATGGTGACCCCGTGTGTGTCAGACTACAACTATGCTCCAAAAGGCTTTCGGTGACTTTTTCGGGGGTAAATCTCCAGGTCTTTCTCTAGGACACCTCGGGGTGAATGCAAACCTTCAACTTTCCTGTTGGTTGCTGGAGCATGTTAAGTGTTTTTTCACCAACCTGGACAGTTGTTAACTAGTAGTGGACATTTCCTCAACGTGACTGAAATAGACTGAACTAGAACAAGCAGAAACATAAAAACAGAACAGAACAAGCGAGGTAAAAAACAAAACCCTGAGATTAACTAGTAGTCAAGGATGGCAACCAAGAAAAGAAAAAGAAACAAGAGTATAGCCAACCTTTTTTTTTTTTTCTTTCCTTTTTTTAATTAGAGTATATTATACTTCCAAACTGGATACACTAGAAATTGGCAATGCAACATAAGATGCAAAGGAATATACCAGTTACTGTCAAAATGACCCTGTACAGCCTTGTAATGCAAAAAGCTTTATACAATACAAATTTTCAGTAATGTACACAAACCATGACAGTAGAATCATCTGAACGTAATGTGAGAAGTGAAAAAAGACGGAAGAGAGAAAGTGCTGAGGACTCTAACTGCACTACTATATGGAAAAATAAGCTAGCTTTCATTGAAGAATGCATAGTGAACACAGAATTGGAGTTAGTCGGTAGGTGAAATTCTCAAAGATGTTAGTGTTTTACACGGAAAGGATCTCTCTGGAATACATCCTTCCCTGAGTTCTAACAAACTGCAAACCAAATTTGGGGGTACATATTTATCTAGATGGAGTCTGAAAAAATGCTGTATATTTTCTTTATTAATAACAATAATAATAATAATATAAAAAGTCAAACAAACTCCAAACACACCTTTTCTCACTCAGAAATTTTTTTTTTTTATAATTTACCAGAAAGATTGATGACTCTTTCCAAAGTGCTAAAAAAAGTTGCCCAATTACATTAAGCATGACAAAGTCATTCAAATACAAGTTCAGTGGCAAGCAGTGAAATGCATGGCATTTGAGCAGTAAACACCTGCTTCCATCACCCCTCTGGTTCTTGAAAAGTCTCCACTTTAGGATCTCATATTGCACAAGTGGCATGCTGTGAAACCTACAGTCCTCAGGGCCACCCTTTCAGGTTTTGAACCTGCTGGGGCTTAAGCACAGTAACCTTTTCTGCCAGCCTCCATGGGATCCCCAAGGACCTCTTTCCTGTCATCACTGAACTTGCCATTTTGAAAGCACATAATTAGCCAAGTGGCACATTCTCCATTAGATGGGGATAAAGACATTACTTTAAAAAGCCCAGCCCATTCATAGGTCCAGTATTCTTGGAGTGTACTGTCCGACTGTCTCTAGTGTCTTTTATTGAGAGGTTGACGTGGCAAGGCTCAAGAGTGCTTCAAACAAGGCCCAGAACCAACGTCTCTGTGGGAGCAAGACTATGGGGGCCGAGGAGTCCTGCCCTAGCTGGCTCAGTCTCCTGGCCCCCCCCGGGGATGTATCCTTAGTGTAAACACGTTTGCCAGGGCACCGAGCAGGCCCCCATCAGTGGCTGGGTACCTGGTAGAGAGGGAGTGTTGCACACCTGCTAGGTCTGGGGCAGGGGACTGGGTGGAGAGGAGAGGAGGAGAGACAGAGGTGTGGATAGACAGTACAGTGTCTTGTTTCTGGGGAGGGGGGTATAAGGGGTGGGAAGAAACTCTTCTAATTCAGTAGGGGCTTTCAGTGATGCAAACTGATTAGAGGAAGAAAATGAGGGATGGTTTTCTTGTCCCCTGGTGGAACAGATGAAAACAAAAACAAAAATCCAACTCTAGGAAAACATAAGATGGAAAACAGCAACACAGTAAGAAAGCATTTCTCCTATACACCAATTCTTCATCAATAGATAAATAACATATAAACTTTTATATTCCAAACTTCCCATCATTATACAAAGCACCTTTTCCTCCTGCTCTCTCAGCCTGTTTCATACTGGGAATTCTGTTGTCTTAAAAATACAAAGCCATTAATGTATTCAGCTTGATATTCTTTTGTTTGTTTTATTTTTGTCTTTTTCTTTTTGAAATCACCCATTGACTTTGCAAGCTTAGCAAAAGGCCAAGCAACCACTCCACGTCTGCTTTCTGCTTCACTAAAGTGCTGCACATAAGTTGCCATTTTAATGACCACAAAATAAGAACTTTAAATAAGTAGAGTTAGCCTCCTAGCAGGTAATATCCACCAGGCGAGACAAAAATGGAATACAGAGTTAGTAATAACGCGGAGAGCACTATAGCCATAGGATCTGCAAACACAATGGAAACTTCTCAGGAGTACAAACTGAACCGTAAAGAATAAACAGCACCTTTTACCTTTTTGTTGAGTTCAAAGAGGTCATGACTATATTTTCAAACATACAGTTTACTCATTTCATATAAAAGGTACACTTTCGTCCTTTTATTTTACGCCTTTTTTTTTTTTTTCAGATGAGAAACAAAAATTAGTGCAAGACCTAAGCACTGTGCAAAACTGCCGTTTCTTTCTTTTTTCTTTTTTTAGTCTGAGCATTTATACCCAGAATTTATCCAAACCCCTTTTAATCTCCTTGGCTGGATTTCTCAACCATAAAAATTTTCACTCATACAATTTTTTTTTTTTCTTCCTGCAAACAAATGGTAACCACTGAATTAATTACACCATCTCTATATATAAAATCTGCCCTTAAAAAATGGTGTGTAATCATACACATTGTATATGTATGGACACATACACCTTTATGTTTTGTGATGTTAGCTGCAGTGCTACGAGATATTTCTTCCAAGAGCAGTTGCTTGAATCCTTGGCATCTTCGTAACCAAAGGAGACCAAGGTGGCCGACGCTCTGTCAGAAATCTCCACCAGCACTATAGACACCTACCATTTCCTTCACCAACTAAACCCCAGACCTTACCACTCTGCAGCCGTACAATCCACAAGGAAAGGAGCTGAAGGAATTCAGGGAAAAAGGCCAGAGTGGATGAACAACCCAGGAGGGCCAAGACCGTTCATCGCTACTACAGGAGCCAGTACCAAGAAGGTGCAGTGGAGATGTCACGGCACACAACGTATGGCCTCCTCTCTCGGAATCCACAAATGCCCATGCACCCCCATTCACCCAACAGAAAACAAAATGCACCGATTGATAACCTTAACAAGTGCTGATTGCTATTAAGGACACTCTCTTGAGGCTTGAACGAGACAAAATTCCTTTTAAGAGAAAAATACGGAGAAGGGGTGAGAGTGGGAGGTGGGTGCCTGGGAGGCATGCTTCTGAAGGTAGAAGTATGCAGTAGGTCACCTCTCTGAAGACTGAGTAAAGCAGCTTTCATGTCAATGCAAATAGTATACACAAAGAGCCAATTCTCTATTCCTTACTAAAGATATACAGTACACGTGGTTCAGACCCGGGGGGGCGGTCTGCGGGTTTTGCAGCAACATACACCTGCTGGGGTTGTGTTTTAAGTTTTCTGTTTTTGTCTCTGTCTCTGTTTTTGGTACAGAGCACGGCTGCCCTCAGACAGTCTCTGCTCTCTCTCTTAGTCCGAGATAGGCGAGGAAGGAGTGTTTGGGTGAAGGGATGCTAGGAGGTGCAGTCTGAGGTCGGGGAGGGTGGAATGTAAGATCCAAGTGGTTCTTGGGGTATAACATTGTCAAGGGAATGAGATGGGCAAAATCTGAGTTCCGATACTTGTCAAAGCGCAAAGGGGAGCCGTTGAGGGCCAGAGCCTTGAGTGCCAGGTTGGGCTCTGAGCTGCTGCTATGGGCGGCCGACAGGGCCACCGTCTGCAGAGCCTGGGAGGCGGACATGACCGACAGGGGAGACAAGAGATTCCGGGAGCTCCCGACGACGAGGAGCGGGGTTCCAGGGCCAGCGGGCTCCTTGGGGGTCGGACACAGGCCCTTCTTGTCCTCCTCAGGGCAGTGTCCACTCTGGTGCTTCTTGACGTGGCGGCTGAAGACGAAAGGATGTGTGGTCTTGAACAGGCACTCTTCGCAGCTGAAGGTCTGGCGTGGGGCGTGTTTCAGCTTCTTGTGCAGGTTGAGATTGTCCTTGCGCTTGCAGCTGTAGCTGCACTGGTCACAGTGGAAGGGCCGCTCCCCGGTGTGGACGCGCACGTGCTCGATGAGCTTGTTGGCCGTCTTGGACAGGTAGCCGCACTGGTCACACTTGTAGTGGTTGCCAAGGCGATGCTCCCGGGTGTGCGTCTCCAGCTCCAGCTGGTTGGCCTTCACCGTCTGGCAGATCCGGCACTTGTACTCCATCTTGTAGTGGGTCTTGAGGTGGCACTCCATGGCGGCGGGGCGGTTGGTGGAATAAATGCAGAATGGACACCTGGAAGGGGGAAAGCAATGGGAGGAAAGTTCAGCCAGGGAGGGTCTGCGGCTGATGCGCTGCTACCCCTCCTCATCAGCCTGGCCCCCAAGCCACCCTCCAAATTCCAAGGCCTGGCCTGGCCTGCCCTGCAGCCTCTTTGGCCTAACAGGACCCCCTATGGCTTTTCCCAGCTAACGAGGAGCTCTGAAGAGGTATGCTCAGCCTATTCTGCATCTACTGGCTAGGACAGCAGACAGCAGCCCTCTTGAGGGGCAGCAGAGAAAATGCAAGGGTAAATAAGCTGTCGCTCCCCTCCACCCCCCTCCCGTCCCCGCTGAACCCTCCCCACGCCCCACCAGACATAGCAGAGGTCTAAACCTCACGACCTCCCCTCTACATGGGAGCAACACAAAGAATTGACTTTTCATGCACCACACCAAGCACACGCAGAAAGGCTAAGAGGTTTTAGAGAACAGCTTACAGGGGGAGAGCTACCTCCAGCAAACAGAAAGTCACAGGGATCAGAATCGTGCTTATTAAAGGGTGGTTAGGATGAGAAGGCTTCTGTGTGGCTCTCTCTGTGTGTGAGTGTGTGTGTGTGTTTGTACTTGTGCAGCATACTTGTTGTCTATTAGGAGAGGGAGATACTATGAAGGGGCAGGGGAGGCAGCCCACCCACCATCTCGTCTGCTAATGAGGGATAAGGGAACTTGCAATAAGTCTTAGAAATAAGGATAATCCCACTGGTGGATCCTAACTTCTCAGAGGGCAGGGTCTTAGCTTACAATTCTTCTGTAATCTCTACAGTGCCTGGTAGAGTGCTCAGCACAAGGGGGACACTCGGGAAACACTGATACATATTGGAGTTGTCTCTACACACAGTTTCAGTAGATTCTGGAAGGGCAGATTTTAAGGTCCAGCTCTGGCTGGAAACTCTGGGACAAAGCCCGGGGCCTCTCCGTGCCTCTGTCTCTCCATCTTTTACATGAAGATCTACTACCGCCAACCCCACCCTGGGCTGTCTAGAGGGGTTGGGAGGAGTGGTTAGGGCATGCTTACAAAATCTGCTGAGCTTCTCTCTTAGAAGCTGCCAGGCTTAAGTCAGTGGTTTCTATGATAATTGTAGTGTCTGCTCTCTCTACAACAAGAATGCAAATGCAAAAGCAGCGGCCTCCACTCTTCTTTGGCAGCCGCAGGGCAGGGGCCAAGAGTGAATTGTCCTCTGAGGGTTTGGAGAGGTGTTCAGCAGAGCCCAACACGACCAAGTGCACCAGGCACTGCCTCCTCAGCACCAAGCTCGCCGTTAGCCTTTGAACCTCAGCTCACAGAAGAGTGCACACGAGAGAAATATACAGCCCATTCCCAGGTCAGGTGCACACACAACCCCTACGCCAAGCTGGGCCTTACCTAGAGGAGTCTGACACTCACCACTGTCCTGAGCTACGGCAAAAGAAAAATAATAGTATAATCTTATTTGATCTGCATTATGAACAGGATATAGAGTACAAGCAGTTCCATCACAGAAAAGCAATAGAGACATCTGCAGTCTGTTTCATTTTAAGGACATTTCTGTGACCCACAGCTCTATCTTTCTTTCACTGTTCAGGCCAAATGCTAAGTAAGGGTTTTCCGGGCTCCCAGGAATTTATCTTAAAGACATTCTCTCAGGCAAATGAATTAGCAGATATGGCAAAGGAAAACAAAACAAAACAAAAGCAAAAACAAAGACTCACTGTATAGCCAGAAGGCATTATCAATTTTTTCAAAGTATTCTTCTACTTGGTCATCCTAGAACATAAACTATTACACAGGGGACCGTTAGCACCGCACGGGAAGTGGCCGGACCAGCAAACGCATCAGGGTTCACTGTGCATTCTCCCCAAAAGGTTCAGAGGCTCGGGATTTCTTAGGGCCCTGAGGAAAGGCTGACTGGCAAAGCCATCACGGGCAGGTGCCACAAAGTTACCGGGTGTGAATGGGCTACTGGGAAGGTCAATGAAGGTCAGGAAAAAAAAAGGTTCTTTTTTCCATTTTTTAAGCATATATAAATATTTTAAATAGTTAGAAAGGGATAAGAGGGCAACAAGTGAAATCAAATTCCCAAATAAACTCTGACTAGTCATTTTTCTTCTACTGGTGTTTTTGAATGATCACCACCCTCTTCCCTCAACTTCCTTGAGGTCCGCCCCTTCTCCCACCTAAGTGAACCCAAGAGCGAAATACCATGGAATTTAACAGTAGGTGCTCGTTTATTTGGCCAGGCAGGGGAGCTGGTCCTGCGCCAGCCCTGCACTGGACCATCAAGGATGCTCTGCTCTGAGCCTGTCCATTCCTCACCCACTTCGGAAGTTATGTCACCTCTCTGGTAGGTTGTAAGTTTCAAAGATGAAGGCATCTTACAGCAAAATCTTTTTTCCCCGTCCCCTTGTAGTAATAAAAATTAAATTTTCTACTCTTTTAATTGCATCATCATTCTAACTAAAAATTAATAGTCATGCCTTGGAAGTAGCATTACATATCTTTCTCTCTGTGCCTGGCCATGAAAGCATCTTTCTAGTCAGTGGACCTTCAGTGCCTTATGAACAGGGACTCTGAATTCAGAATCACTGGGAAGAGGAAAATTGGAGAGTGTTAGGATATACATTTCCTGAGTGTGGATATTTCAGTTTATTCTTTGGCTAGTCCATTAGCATCTATTATCAAGCCAGACACACAGTGTATGTGATAAAAACAGGTTGGTCTTACTTGGGACCAGCTGGCTTCTTATAGATTTTGGCTAATGATGCTACAGGTGGTCTAGGTTTTAGAACATCTGGGAATAATGTGTGATTGGTAATGTCAGATCTCAAGAAGGCTCAAACAAGGTGATACCAATTCTAGTTCCTATGAGGACTGTTTGCAGGAAGACATGAGGCATGTGATCTTTGCATGAGAAACGTTGCCTCCTGCTTGTTCAATTTGTCAAGCTTCCATTTTTTTTTTCAGATTAGAGTGGGGATGGAGGTAGTTGTCGTATGTATTTAAAAGTTATATAGCAAATAGTCTAAAACTAGAGATGGCAAACTGCTTAACAGTGCACTTGGGGACACTAACTCCTGAGTCCATTCTTAACATCAAGTCTGAACAAAACTCAATGGTGCAGGATGATTCTACCTTGTAGGCTGAGCTGGCCCAACATGTTTTCTTCCCTGCCCTGGATTCCAGAGTATCTGTGAAATGGATTCTCCTGCTGAGAAGTTCTGTTGACCCCTAGGGGACAGGACTAATCCACAACCAGCTAAAGACAGCGGAGGTACCCAACTCCCCAATTACTAAGTTCCCCCGCTCCAAGACCCCAAAACCTTCCAGGGAGAGGATGGGGCAGGGAAGGGAACGGGGTATTTAGTAACAACGCAGTAAAAGGTTCTGTACTTGCTTTCCTTACTTGAGCCCACCGGTGGGGACAGTGTGGCATTTCTTATGCTCCAACAGCTGTTCGGGGGTCTTCATAAACTTGTGGCACACGTCACACTCAAACATCCGGGTGATGAGGTGGATCTGCAGATGGCGCTCAAACATGTTCTTCGTCTTGCAGACAAAGTTGCAAAAAACGCATTCGAACCCTGAAAGGACCGAAGCTGGGTGTACATACAGTGCATGGGGCAGACACAGGAAGGTCCAAGTACTCTAGTCCTCCCACCCACACAGCTACGCCTCTCCAGGCACTGTTTCCTGCATCTCCGCATCTCTGTGCTACAAGGAGTTAAACACACAGCTTCAGTGTCATAGTCCCTCTCTCCATCCTTCCACCCATATTTGAACACAAATCAAGCAAAAGACATTCAAATTTTGGGTGATGCGTATTACACTGTATCCTCGGCCTACTTTCTGCTTTCCAACACTACCTCTTTCATAGGGCTATTCTCAAGACTGGGTTACCCTAGCTGAGAAGTGCTGAGCAGACCACATCCACCTCCCTCCCTTACCTTTTTCTGGCTTCTCCTCACTATTCAGTGAGGCTTGGCTCCCAGGCACAACAGAGATGACCAGCAGATTGTTCCCGTCCTTGTTTTTCTGAGAGCCATCTGAGTCGTCTTTGCTGTTAGCTGAATCGCTCAGAGCTGAGAGGGAGGATGAAGAAGGGCTATTTGATTCACTGGGGGTCTTCCTGTCTTCCCCTGAAAAAGAAAACAACCCAGGTCTGCTTCCTTGGGAGCTAAAAGCCCTTAGAACACCAGTGATTGTGGAGAGGGGGAGGTATATCATTGATGCACAGCAATTCAGGGAGCATGAGGTTGAGTTTTTCAACTTCCCCAGTGCACCTGTTGGAATTCCAGGACTTGGTGGACTTATGGTGTTCATTGAGGTCTTATAATAAAATCAAATGACAATAGATGAAATGTATTGAACAGGCCAAGTTCCAGGAACTTTGTTAGACTTTAACTGTACTATCTGATTTTATTCTACGAGGTGCACTATGTAGATGAGGTAATGGAGGCACGAAGAGGTTAGGTTAGCCTAGGATGTGGTGGAGCAGAGCTTTGAGTCCAGTTGGTTTGACTCTGCAGTCAGTGATTACCACAGTGCATGGGGCTACCTCCCTGCACTATCAAAGTGAAGCCAACGTATCAATGGACCATTAAAATCTAGTGTCAGGAGACTTGTACTTCTCAATGGCTGAAGCAACTACCCAAAAAAATCCCCAAATGATTACGATTATCAGTGTTTATCACAGCATTAGACCTTAGGCAATGAAGAAGAGTGGTCCCTGAGTGACAGGACACAAAAGAGATGAGTCCTCTGAATGTCAAGGCTACAGTGCAGAGAGGAGCACCCCAAGTGGAGTCTGGTGGACTCCCTGAATTGAAGAAAAAGAGCTTAGAATATAAGGGGACCAGCATGGTTATACTCTGCAGGACAGGGCACTGGAGAGGAAAGAGCACAGAAATGGTACTCCAAAGACCTGCAGAGAAAGAAATCAGTATTCATCAGAATATGCTGAATAATAACTAATTTAAAAGGCTTGCAGAACAGAGCCTGGTACACACACAAGGCTAGAAGTGCATCAATTTCGACCATTCAGATTAGGAAAACCTGTAATTCAGGGGCATTGGATAGAAAATTCAGGAAGGTCATTTAATTGTTGTGGTTGTAAAGTGCCATCAAGTTGGTTCTGACCCATAGTGACCCATATAGGTTTTCCGAGGAGCAGCTGGTGAGCTTGAACTGCCAACTCATTTACACCACTCAGATTGGGAAAACCCGTAATTCAGGGGCATTGGGTAGAAAACTCAGGAAGGTCTTTATTAATAGTGGGTTGTATTTAGCTTTGGAGTCCTGGTGTGATGCTGTAGGATAAGCACTGGGCTGCTAATAAAAGGATGATGGTTCAAACCCATCAGCTACTCCTTGGAAACTCTATACTCAGAGGATCGCTGTGAATTGGAACTGAGTCAATGGCACTTAACAATGACAATTTAGTCTTAGACAGAGCACAGCACTGGATCTGCCTCATAAATTATAAAAAACAAGATGCGAAAGGATCAAAGTTTCCAAGCTGTATCCTAAAACAAAGATGAAGAATGTTCACGGAAACAAAAATATCCCGCATCAAGCAAAGTGAAATCACAATAGCTGGGATAAAACAAAATTGACCAGTCATGCAAAGAAGCAAGAAGCACAAGCCAAAAATGTGAAGAAAAATGAAACAATCAAAACTGACCCAGATGTTAGAATCTGCAGGCAAGGACATTTAGAAAGTCATTATTACTGAATGGCTGATGTTAAAAAAGTCAGGTAGAGACAGGAAAATACATTTTTTAAAGACTCATATTAAATTTCTAGAGATGAAAACTACAATGACTGAGATGGAAAAACATACTGAATGGGATTTCTGGCAATTTAGACATGAAAGAAGAGATTAGTGAACTTGAAGCTTTTCAAAACGAAGCATACAAAGAACAAAGGGTTATCAAAAATGAAGAGACTATTAGTAAACTATGGGATGCCTTCATTCAGGTTGATTTAAGTTTTACTGGAGTCCTTGGCTGGGGAGGTGGGGAGGATAGTGGGGGGGTGGTGGTGAGTGAAATAGCTACAAATTTTCCAAATTTGAGGGAAATTATAAACTCAAAGATCCAAGTAGTTCAATGAACACACAACACAAGAAATATGAAGAAATGATACCAAAAAAATTGTAATCAAAACATGCAAAATTGCACATAAAGAGAATGTGTATGAATTGTAAAATAGAAAGAGAATTTGATCTTTAAATGTTCACTCAAATCATAATAAAAATTAAAAAAAAAAAACAAAACCCTAAAAGCTGTCAGAGGTAAAATGACATTTATGTGCAGAGGAACAAGAAAAAGACGAAAGCAGATTTCTCATTAGAAACTATGTAAGTGGGAAGATAATGGGGTGACAGCTCAGAACAACCAAACTGTCAAACTGAAATTCTATACCCAGCAAAAATATCTCAAAAGCAAAGGCAAAATTAAAACCAAAGCTGACACAAAAAAAGCTGCAAGTAGTTACCACCTGCAAACCCACATTAGAAGAACTGTAAAAGAAACCTTTCAGAAAGAAGAAAAATGATACTAGATGTAAATACTGATCTTCAGAAAAGAATGAAGAACACCAGACATGACTGCTACATGCTTCCTCAAATGCATCTTCTAAGACTGGTCTGACCAACAGGACATTACAAGTTATTATTATTACTTTTTAAAAAACTTTTTATTGTAAATTAAATGAAGGTTTACAGAGCATACCATCAGTTTCACTTTCAACAAATCATATTGCTTCATCACAATGACTGCAATCTCCTGCATGTACCATCAGTGTAACAGTATTTACTTCTATTCAACCAGTGACTAATTTTAGTTTTTAGTATTAAACATATTAGTATTAATTAGTGTCTTTTAAAATAGATTTAAGTGTTCTCAGGCTTATGGTACTGGGTTTGTTGTTGTTGTTGTTATGTGCCATGGAGTCGGTTCCGACTCATAGCGACCCTACACAGGGTTTCCGAGGCTGTACATCTTTACGGGAGCAGACCACCTCATCTTTCTCCCGCAGAACCGCTGGTAGTTTCGAACTGCTGACCTTGTGGCTCGCAGCCCGACTCATAACCACTACGCTACAAATACATAGGGTCCCGAGTCAGCCACCATATGCTATAGTATGGGAAAACACTTCCACTTACTTCATCTGTAATCCTGAACCCAAACAGCCTCCCCTCCTTCAAGTCTATTCCTTTTGCTCTGTCTGTAGGGAATGAGCCAGGGGGCTCCTACCAACTAAAACCAAGGCTAACTGTGATTCCAGTGGCCAATTATTTTCAACATCACAAAGATTCTTGATGAAAAGCCACCTGTGCACAGGTCATCACCATATACATTAAGGAAGTCAAATGAAGAAAAACTACAAGAAAGAGTTAAATATTTCTAATTTAAAAAACAAAACGAAAACAACTGGTACCATATAAAATGACTAATCATTTTGCTGCCTCTTTACAAACACAATCACATTTTTGGCATATGCTTTTAATTTTTTTTAAAAAAGTACACATCAATTTTTAAATTGTTGCTATTAATTGCATTATGTTATGTTACAGTTAGTGCCATCAGTTGGTTCTGATCCATAGTGACCCTGTACAGGGTTTCCAAGGAACAGTTAGTGAGCTTGAACTGCCAACCCTGTGGTTCAAACTGACTTTGCAGTCCAGTGCATTAACCTACAGTGCCACACCAGGACTCCATTAATTGGATCTTAAGAATAAGGACTTTAGATCCAGATCTCACTTGTGTCATTTTGTAGCTTGTGACCTTAGACAAATAACTTAAGTCAATGTCAGTTATCAGCACCTGCCTCGTATGATTGTTGTGTGAATGAAATGAGTCTTTTATAAGGAAAGCATTAAGAATAATGCCTGAAACATGGTAAGCATTCTAACAGTACTATTTGTATTATACTATTTTCTCATACTGACACATAGCTTTTTATGTGTTTTATATACTGACACATAGCTCTCAAAAAGTATTTACAAAAATAGTTATGAGGTAATTATGCTGAATGATAGTATTCTTTCTACTGAGGGAATTGATCATGTTGTTGTTGTTAGGTGCAATCAAGTTGGTACCGACTCACAGCAACCCTATTCACAGCAGAACGAAACACTGCCTGATCCTGGACCAACCGCACTACTATTGCCATGCTTGGTCCATCGATGATGCCACTTGGCCAATTCATCTCATTGGGGGTCTTCCTCTTTTTCTTTGACCCTCCACCTTACCAAACATTATATCCTTCTCCAACGACTGGTCCCTCCTCACAATATGGACTAAGTGTGAGAGATGAAGTTTGGCTATCCTGACCTCTAGGAGCACTCTGGTTGCACTTCTTCCAACACAGATCTGTTGGTTTTTTTGGCAGCCCATGGCATTTTTAATATTCTCCTCCAACACCATAACTCAAATGTGTTAATTCTTCTGCGGGCTTCCTTATTTACTGTCCAGCTTTCGCATGCATATGAGGTTATTGAAAATACCATGGCTTGGGTCGGGCGCACCTTAGTCCTCGAGTTGACATCTTTGCTCTTCAACACTTTCTAAAAAGGTCTTGTGCAATAGATTTGCCTAATGCAATAGGTTGTTTGATTTCTTGACTGCTGCTTCCATGAGTGTTGATAGTTGATCCAAGAAGGACAAAGTCCTTGACAACTTCAATCTTTTATCCATTAATAAGATGTTGTTTATTGGTCCAGTGGTAAGGATTTTTGTTTTCTTTACATTGAGATGCAATCCATACCCAAGGCTGTGCTCTTTGATATTCATCAGTAAATATTTTAAGTCCTTTTCACTTTCAGCAAGCAAGGTTGTATCATCTGCATATCTCAGGGTATTAATGTGTCTTCCTCCAATACTAATACCATGTATTTCTTCATAAAACCCAGATTCTCGGATTATTTGCTCAGCATACAGGCTGAATAAGTATGGTGAAAGAATACAACCTTGTCGCACACCTTTCATAATTTTAAACCATTCAGTGTTCCCATGTTCTGTTTGAACAATTGCCTCTTGCTCCACGTACAGATTCCTCGTGAGCACAATTAAGTGTTCCGGAACACTCATACTTTGCAGTGTTATCCATAGCTTCTTATGATTCACACAATCAA